CGTCCCTTCACCTTCTAGTGTGTGGTCTGGTCAACATTCTTCAGCCACGTTATTGTGACTCATCGCCTGAAAGGTTTCCTGTCCCTGGATATCCCAGCGAGCATACACTATTAAATAACGTTAAATCAATATATATCAGTGTTATGAGTGTCGATTTAATATTACATCAACGTCACTTACCCAGATTTATCTGGGATGGGTGGAAAACCCTAGTTAACTATTCCTATAAATAATAAAAACAAATTTGTTTACCATCAAAATACTTCGTTTTCTCTGAAAAATATGCTACTTGAGAGAACTACATTATGGGAGACTAAAGAACATTTTTTTTTTTTTAAGTCGGAAAGAGTAGGTCAAACTACTGACCTTTTTCAGGATGCAACCCTCAACAGGGTCCTAACTCCGTGGTTCCAATTTACTGCTAAGTCAACAGAGGCATCAGGTGAAAGAAAGCGTACTCAATCATTTCGTGTTAGTGGCTTTACAAGAATGTAAAAACTTCAATGCTATGTACTCTCATAAACCCAATGTACCTTCTTGTACATATACATAAATAGATAAATAAATTTCTGTTCATCCAGAACATCGAGCCGGGGATCACTGATTAAAAAAACAGAATGTAAATAATCGTATTACAGGACCCATGCATCAACTTATCCCTCGTATTGGGTAGAAAACTGTGTACTGTTGTCGAAGACAGAAAACCTATAATCTTTACGAGGTGGCCTAGTCAAGGTCGAGGCTACTCTAGCGGTCACCTAACTAGTGCTGCCATTAACCTAAAACAGGGCCGCATCTAACTGCTTTTGGGCCCCACCCCTCTCGTCAGTGTGGATATTCAAAGGCTAAACATGTAGCTAAACTCGTGTCATAATATGTAGTATAATTAATTATCAAAGTTATGTTATGCATAGTTTTACAGAGGAATAATACACTGAGGCCATATTTCTATACTTATGTAAGTTTTTATTCCTTTTTTTCCCAGACAATAACAATACACATTCAGTCTCCGTGGCGTAGTGGTAAGACACTCGCCTGGCGTTCCGCGAGCGCTTTGTCATGGGTTCGTATCCTGGCCGGGGAGGATTTACTGGGCGCAAATCCTTAACTATAACCTCTGTTTAACGCAACAGTAAAATGTGTACTTGGTTGAAACAACGATTCTTCGCGACGGGGATCGTATTCCAGGGACCTGCCCGAAACGCTACGCGTACTAGTGGCTGTACAAGAATGTAACAACTCTTGTATATATCTCAAAAAAAAAATAAATAAAATAAAAGCAAACATAAATCATAACAGCTATAGACCTCCGGCAACTAAACAAACACTTGTGCAAACAGAATATTTCTTGAATTAATAGTAAGCAAAAACAAATAGTCTGCACTGCTGCTGCTGCTGCTGCTGCTCAGTTGTGTGAAACTTCATGTGAGACGGTGAAAATCCGCACGACAACTTCTACAGTACAGGAATTGCACAATTACTCAGTTGCCCCTTTGGGTAATCCGGCCCTGACCTAAATGATCGAGAAATCCGCATACTGTGGCACACTGAGGCACCCAGCTATACGTGTCTGTGGAGAAACACCAAAGAATCAATCATCCTGGTGCCTCATTCCGAGGTTTCCCTTGTGTTCCTTCAATTCCTAGGTCCCCATAATCCAACTAATGACTTTCCACAAAAATGCAGACCCACAATTTCTACTTCGTGATATACTCAGGAGGAAATATTATCTTAAGAGATGCAAGTTGAATCCTTTTGACATAATATTTTTTTAACATAGAGAATAACGACTTGCATGATGTAGAACACATTCGTTAATCTCACAAGAAGCTCAAGTTAGTTTAGTTCGTATATAATACACCCTATACCCATCATGTGGGCGGTAGTGGAAAGGGTTCCAGAGACACAGATGGGGCTCTGGGACTGAACCCCACAATTCATTTAGCTAAGTAAGATACAATCTTAATGAGCTACTTAAAAAAATTCAATGCACATCATCACATCATCAATGGGTTCGAGATCGACCACAAATACAGTTTCTAAATTAAGCAACTGACATATGTGGAGAGCTAGTGTCACAATTGATATGTTTGTCCTGCACACCGCCCCCCATCCAGTGGGCAGCGGTGGATAGGTTACAATCCCTTAGTTACTACCCACAGTTAGCAAACTGGGGATATTTGGCTAAAATTTCTGGTAGCAGATAATTTTGAATAAAATATTTAGACATCTCTGGAACATTTGTTATAGAACTGTCTCTGAATTCACGTATCTTTTTCGCACTCCATCACATAGTGACGAAGGGTGTGCGAATAATTTTGTTGACACAGTTTACATTTGGTCAGGTCTACATCAGCAGATAATGAGAATTCCCAAAGATACTTGAAACCGAGTCTAAGCCGAGCAGTAGCAACTACTAAAAGTCTGCTGATTTTATTGGATGATCCATAGATGTGTGGCTCCTCTTGCATGATAGTATGATGATAGATGGAATTACTGGTGTCGATTTCCTTTTGCCTCAGATCTACAAGATTTTGTTGAAGTTCTGGTGTACTTTTGCTCTCAGGCTGCTTATTGACAATCATACTCAATTTCTCATTTAAAAGCAGATTCCTTTGACTAACTCATCAGCTCTATCATGCATTTGGAGGCCACCATGAGATGACGTCCACATGAAATATACTCTGTTACCATCATTAATAGCTCAAGCGGCAATAGTTTCCCGTCTATCCATACAATAGCATAATCGTACCTAATGGTTCACCCCATTATTAATTATATAACTACATGCGTCGACACGAAATTAATTAAGAATACTATACATATTTGTCTAAGACTGGAGAGACGGCACAGACAAATCAGTACTTCTCAACTTATATCAGCGTTGGTGTTAAGAAAAGTCTATTTAAATGAATACGTCTGGAAACCAAACAATCTTCCAAATATGTTCTAACCTGTAGTTACTATGGACAGAATACACAATATATGGACCGCTATAAAAAAATAGAAGCAATTGTTATCGTTTTGTACTATTACATTTTTAAAATGTATAATAGAATGAAATAAAGCATAATCCTTTTGTTTCGTTTTTCCGGCCCAGCATATTGGGTAAGTTCGCTAGATACAAAAATTGTTTTAATAATTGCTAATAATAAAATATTATTAGCAACAATTAATATTATTAGGGTGGGTGGGCAGGTGGATGTATGGGTAGGTATGTGGATGGATTGGTGGCTGGCGGGAAGGCGGGTGGGGTGGATATAAATCGTGTGGCAGACTGGTTAGGTACGCAGGCTAACCATAGCCCGTGCTTCTTGCCCCGCTCCTGTGCCAGGTAAGTTACGGGCTCACCATAGCCCGTGCTACTTGGAACGTGTTCCGAGTAGCTGAATCTATAACAACAACAACATGGTTAGGTGACTACGGGCTCACCATAGCCCGTGCTACTTGGAACTTGTTCTGAGTAGCTGAATCTATAACAACAAGAACATGGTTAGGTGAGTGGGCGGGCGAGCTGGGTGGGTTGGTTTGGGCAGACCGGCTATTATTTAGGTAATTTCTCAGTGAGTGGGTGGGTTTCTGGGTGAGTGGGTGGGTTTCTGGGTGAGTGGGTGGGTTTCTGTGCGAGTGGGTGGCTTTTGGCAGGCGGGTGGGCTAGATTAGATTTAACTAGAGGCTAGACCTCTAGTCTTGGACAGACTTCACCCTCACTGGCTAGATTCAAGCCTCACCTAACTTTTCAGGGTGACTAGTGAGGGGAAAAGGGCAGCAGGGGCGATTAACATAGACGAGTCAAGAATGGCCCCAATGCTCTAATTAAAAGGGGATCGACTCCTATGGTTACTACAATGTTATCGATGGAGATGCATAATTGTCAGCCGAGCACCTAGAATTTCATCATTTTACGCAATCTTGGAATATACATACATATAACGCCTGCATGGTGCAACAGATTTTATAATGGTCCAGGACGGACCAAAACGTCGTCGTCTCTTCATCTTATGATGTGTGGTTTGGTCATCATATCTTCAGCCACGTTATTGCGACTCATCATCTGCACATTGTGAAACCTTTTTGGGTCGACCCGGTAACTCGATCCCGTTTTCTATATACAAAATTATGTTAGAGCACGTTCAGGAGAAAAGCAATGTGATGATGACTGGGGCAGTGCCCCGTTGAGCAGTGCAACTGATCTACTTTCGTACACTTATTGATGCTGGCTTTTGTCTTCTACGTCGCTTTAACTAGACTTTTTACTTCTCGTACCAGAGATACTTCTGTGTCTTGTGCAGTTTAAACGTGATCAATGAGATAAAATGTCCGATGGCGTTTGGTGAGGAAGGTTTAGATGGAGAATAATCTGTACACAGGAAGAGGGGGTTAATAAGGGAGGGAGTTGTGGGAATATGAGGGAGGGAATATGAGGGAGGGAATATGAGGGAGGGAGTGGGGGGAATATGAGGGAGGGAGGGAATATGAGGGAGGGAGGGTGATCGTGGCAAGGGAGAGTGAGACGTGTGTTGCATCATGTGCATCCATACCAAATTGTTTTCTCACCATAACCTCCTGCTTTTGGTCCTCTCGGCACCACAATCTTAGTCCACTCACCGCTGAGGCAGGAGCAAGAGAAGACTGTTATTGTCTACTCTGTAGTGAGAAATAAGTGTGAGAAATAGGCTAAAGGGAGCTTACTGCCACAGTGACTGCTTTAGACTTCCTGAACGTGTCCGCGCTCGCCTGTTCGTGTTAAAAAAAGAGAAGGTGTAGTTACGCATACAGGAGTCCGCTGTAAGAAAAAAGTATTGTCTTATATACGGAGGATTATTTTAGTGATTGGTAGCAGTGATTTTCCCCGGCATACACCTTCTAATACCAGGGAAATACGAGTCAGTTTGGGAGACGAACTAGAGGATATATCCTCGAGATTGAGAACGTCTTATCGTCAACTACAGCATCCCACAACAACAATGTCCAATTTCAGATTAACGGCAAATGCCAAGATGGATGACAAGTCACAAGTTAAGGTTACTGGATACTGGAATAAAGGTTATACGGATGAGAATACGAATGAATTTATTGGTGGACATGCAAAGATAACATGCATCGACCTGGAGACAACGGAAGGTAACGTAAGTATTCCGCTAGAATCTCCTGCTGGCACTGATGTGAAGATGAAAATGAAAAGTGACGACTCCATGGTTTATGGTACTAGGAACGGCAACATTGAAAATACTGAAGAAGCAATAGCTACAGAGAAGAAACCGGGAGTAGACATTATAACTGAAACCATTTCTATCAACGTATCATTGGAGGACGTCATTGGGAGGAAAGATCAAAACGAAGAGAGTGAGAATACCGCTCTAGATGGAGGCTGGGGTTACTTGGTCATCGCCGGCTGCTTCATCATTGCGGTGAGGCGGTGTTCGCTGGGAAAGATGCTCATCTTGAATGGAAGGGAACACTGCTAGGCATGGATGCTGCTCTGGTTGGGATAGGCACTCAGCTTATCATTAGAGCTCATGGTGGGAGTTGGGGGGCTACAAAGATCTAGTTGATTCCGTAGTGGATATATATTCTGTTGTCAGAGAGCTGTTAATAGTGGGTTCAGCAGCCAGGGAAGGAACCGGGCAGACTGCATATAAAAGAAACTTCACGTCGGTATACTGCTCTGGGATTACTACTTGGGTAAATGACATTGACGGTCTTTGATATATTAATATAAATATATAATTTTTAATTTAAGTCCAGGACTGTATAAAAGAGATAGTTTTATAACTGGTGGGATTTGTGATAGGTATAAAATCACATAAAGAATGGATAGATATGTGCAGGTTGCTTATTCTGTCTAAAGAAAGGGATAGAAACAATATTTATTCATTCTAAAGAAGGGACAGAATAAATAATTATTCTAAAAAGGGGATATAATAAATATTTATTCTATCCCTTATCTCTTTCTAAGAGATAATATTTCATGCTTACTCTGGTAGTCACGTGACCTGTCTCCCTTGGAAGAGCTCGCTACCTGTGTTGGCACGTGACCCATATATATATATATATATATATATATATATATATATATATATATATATATATATATATATATATATATATATATATATATATATATATATATATGCAATTGACGATCACAAAACACTGATCATTTTATGCGGAAAATCCACAGAGAAATATGAAAGGAGGTGAACGTTTCGGCTTTGTTAAAGCCTTTCTCAACACCAGACTGAGTCACCAGACTCAGTCTGGTGTTGACAAAGGCTTTAACAAAGCCGAAACGTTCACCTCCTTTCATATTTCTCTGTGGATTTTCCGCATATATATATATATATATATATATATATATATATATATATATATATATATATATATATATATATATATATATATATATATATATATATATATTTTATTATTAAATATGACCGAAAAAGTAAGATTAATAATTCTAACACGAATTTTCTCAATCTTTCGTACATTACGCTTCACTGTTGGAGGTAAATCAAAAATCACTTCTCCAAAATTCATTTTTATTTCTAGTCTGACGCGACACGGGCGCGTTTCGTAAAACTTATTACATTTTCAAATGTCCGACACGGGCGACACGCGCCCGTGTCGCGTCAGACTAGAAATAAAAATGAATTTTGGAGAAGTGATTTTTGATTTACCTCCAACAGTGAAGCGTAATGTACGAAAGATTGAGAAAATTCGTGTTAGAATTATTAATCTTACTTTTTCGGTCATATTTAATAATATATGTCTACAGGAAAGACTGCTACCAAAATATACTAATATATATATATATATATATATATATATATATATATATATATATATATATATATATATATATATATATATATATATATATATATATATATATATATATATATATATATATATATATATATATATATATATATATATATATATATATATATATATATATATATATGACCACCTTATCACCAGTTATTGTTCACAATTTTTATATATTCGTGCGCGTGTACACACACACACACACACACACACACACACAGCCACGCTTATACAAATTCTAATTTCATTTCATATTCATAGCTTAATTTTCTCCTTCCAGAATATCTGCAATATCATCGGACCGTGTTTTGGTATCCTCTTCTCTAGTTTCCTGCTGGACTTGGGTACATCGTCGACAGCTGTCTCTTGGATCTTCAACATGCAAGCTTTAATGTTCGGCTTGTCCAACCTCATAGTGGCCCCGCTGGCGGAGCACTACGGGTGGAGGCTGGTGGTCATCGCGGGCGGAATCCTCTGCTTCCTCAGTCTCGCCTCCTCCGCCTTCGCCACGTCCGCGACGTTCCTCTTCTTCTCATATTCCATACTTGGAGGCGAGTCTACTGGATGGATGTGGGTTGGGGGTTAATGTACTGGAATTGGGGGAATGAGTGTGCTGGTGGCGGGTGAGTGAACTGGTAGGGAGGTGAGGATATATTGGGGTGGGTAAGATGGGGGGGGGGGGAGGAGGAACTGCCTTTAGAAACCTGTATAAGGAATCCTTCAGAACCTTGTATAACTCATATGTAAAAACTAATCCTGGAGTATGCGGTTCCAGCATGGAGCCCGTACCTTGTCAAGCACACGACGAAGTTGGAAAAAGTTCAGAGGTATACCACTAGGCTAGTCCCATAACTAAGAGGCATGAGTTACGAGGAAAGACTGCGTGAAAAGCACCTTACGGCCCTAGATGACAGGAGAACTCGGGGAGATGTGATTACTACCTACAAAATTCTCCGACAGGGTGGATAAAGATAAACTGCTTAACACAGGTAGTACGCGAACAAAGGGACACAGGTGGAAACTGAGTACCCAAATGAACCACAGGGACGTTTGAAGGAATTTTTTCAGTGTCAGAGTAGTTAACGGATGGAATGCATTAGGCAGTGATGTGGTGGAGGCTGACTCCATACACAGTTTCAAATGTAGATATGATAAGTGCCCAGTAGGCTCAGGAATCTGTGCACCAGTTTATTGACAGGACCAAAGAGTCAGAGCTCAACCCCCGCAAGCACAACTAGGTGAAGACACACACCGGGTGCACAAAGAGCTAGTCTTCACTTTCCCAAAGTCACTGGAAAGCACTTTTGGGTAAGTGTACTAGTAGTAGGCATCCATTAGTCTCAGGAGACTATGAAGTTGCACTTAGGTTGTCGGTCTGGAGTGGCCTCTCCAGGGCGCAAAGCCAGGATAGGTTGATACGGGAAAGAAGCTGTCACCCATGCAGCAGGTTCCTCCTCTCCATGGCGCCGAAAGGAAGTAATTATCAAAATAAAGCCATTGTTTACAATGGAACGACAAACGCCAATACGATTGGTTTCATCGTCGTTGCAGGAATAGTCAGAACGAAGACAACATCGAATTGCCCTAGGACAGTTCGTGTAGTGTACATGTACACAAACCCACGAAATTGTATATTAATAATTATCAATTATTCGTCAAACGTATTTAAATTTCAAATCTCTTAACTCTAGCTTCTTTCTTCAGGTTTCGGCACCGGCATGTCCACACTAATAGCTTACGTGATCTTGCCATATTACTTCAAGCGGCTTCGGGGTCGGGCGAACGCCATCCTGATGGGAGGAGTCTCCTCGGCCCAGTTGATTGGGCCGCCGCTGATAACCTTTCTGCAGCAGGCGTACGGGTTCAGGGGCGCAACTCTCATTGTTGCCGCCCTCTCTCTCAACATCTGCGTCGCCGGTTCGGTCTTCCATCCAGTTGAGTGGCACAGTAAGGCTCCCAATCGATGTAATAAGACGTCCAAGAGTAGGACGTCGTCAGGAGTCTGTGCGGCGCTCTTTGAGGTTATTTGTTCTATTGGCAGAAACTTCAAGATTCTGAAGTTATACCGAGCTCGCATTATCTCCCTGGGAAGCTGCTTCTTCATGAGCGGTTACCTGAACTTTTTCATGCTGGTGCCGTTTGTGATGGAGGCGGGCGGGTACACCCAGGAGACGGCCTCCTGGTGCATGTCCGTCTCCGCCGCGTGCAACTTGGCCTCGCGCATGGTGGTGTCCTCCCTGACCGACTTGCCCAGGTTTAATATGCGGGCGAGCTTCATGGCCGGCACCCTCGTCATCTCCGTCACCATCGCTGGTATGTTAGTCTTCAGCGCTGCGGCTAATATACCGCTCCCGCAACTTAGTTCTATACGAAATGATCAAATCATATTGCTAGTTACAGTATAAATTTAACGTAGGAATGACGCAAAAACTGTTGTTATAATACACGCATTTCAGTTTATTTCCCCCCCTTGTCAGTGACCAGCTGGGTGGAGGGCGTGTGGGCGGTGGGCGCGGTGCTGGCGGCGTGGGGGTGTGGCGTGGGCGCGCTCTTTGGCGTGATGAACCTGCTCGTAGTTGACTACATGGGCCTCAACAACGTTCTACCCTTCTTCTCGGTGTGTGGCGTCATCAACTGTGTCTGGCTCCTCGTCTTCAGTCCTCTGTTTGGTAAGAACTTCATAATGGACGCTCCAGAAGGCCTTCAGGGGGGAATTTCTGGAATTTCTCAAGAATCTTTGGATTTTCGAGTTCGTGTTTATGTACCATAAATGTTTGTGTATGATTTTATTTCAGGTCTGGTGCTGGACGAGAGTGGCAGCTACAAGGTGAGCCTCGGTGTCCTGGGAGGCATCTCCTTCATCACCTTCGTCATCTGGCTATTCATGCCCGCCGCCGTAGCTTACGATAAGCGCAACGAGGCCCCTCCAGCAGAGTCAACAGCAGCAGAGACAGTCGCAGAGTCGGCAGGGAAAGCACCACCACCAGCTATCAGACCAGATGAATCATCATCAGTAGCGTTAACAAGAGAATCAGCAGCTGCAACATAGCAAGGAGAAGAATCATCACCATCAACAGTAGAGTTTGCAAGAGAACAACCACCATCAGAGGCAGCAGAGTCGTCAGGATCAGCAGCAGCAGTCATAAACAATAACAGACTTACCTGCGGAATAATTAACAACAAAATTATCAGACCACAAATCCAGCAAACTGAAAAAAGTCTTAAAACAGGAGAAACACCATCATCATCATTGGGATAATTATCTTCAACATGAATAACAGAAACAGCAACATCAAGGCAACAGAAAAATCATGACTGTTTAACAATTAGTAGCAATAACAAGATGACATAAGTAGCATAATAAAAAAAAAGTTTGTTAGCCCAAGCAACAACAGTTATATCTTCAATAACAGTGTTCCTACTACTGCTAGCACCCGTTACAAGAGTAGAGAATTAGCACCACCAGCAAGGAACAGCAAGTGATGCAGCATCAACAACAATGCCAGCAGGAGATGCAGCATCATTAATCACCGGTATCTCTTTATCTCTAGTCAAAGCCAAACATTCATGTATGCATTGTGTATATGTGAATAAAGTGTTTCCCCTGAAGGTCTTGGTTTTTTAAACTATATACCATAAAAATGCAGTTCTTTTTACAACTTTTTTTTAATAAATTATCACCCAGTTACGTGAAAAAATGTGAAATTAAACAACCATCAGAACGTCCAGTACTAACAACAAGAGAGCACTAATACATCAAGAGCTTCAACAAAATTGATGAATGTGAAGTCTATATTAGCTAGCCTATGTGGCATCTTCCACTAGTTGGGATCATCCAGTAAAATAAGCAAACTCATATAGATGTTACCTATTGCTAGTCTTAGGCTCGATTCTTAAGTACTTTATCTCGGGCAGTTTGCATCACCTGTTGTTGAAGCTCGAAGTAGAGTATACCTTCATCAAACAGTTTCGCCCACTTCAGAACTATGTAATTGAATGTGGACTAAAATTGAACTATCAGTAATGCTCAATAAATGTACAGCTGAAGCATTCAAAATGTTACATGGTATTACCCAAGGAAGCACATGAACCTCCTGAACTTACTGTATGATTAAAGAACACAAGAACGTACACAAAAAAATGCAGGCAGACTGCTTGGCCCTTATGAGGCAGCGACTATTTATATCCACCCAAACCCATTCAAATTCCTGTCTAACCTACCTTTAAAGCCTTTCAGCTGTCCCACGTCTAATTTACTACCTGGTAGTATTTTGTTCCATGAATCGATTGCTACATTTCCAAACCAATATTTACTCACGATTTATTCCCGAATCAAAGCCTTGTTCAATTTATATTTTCTCTTTTGTGTTGATATATTTAAAACCTTATATATATATATATATATATATATATATATATATATATATATATATATATATATATATATATATATATATATATATATATATATATATATATATCTTTTGTCATACTGTCATACATTTCTATACTTTATGATTACATCACACCTTAATCGTCGCCTCGTAAGATAATGTAAATTAAGATTGATTTAACTTCATAAGGAAGGTTTCTAATTTCTAATCTTGGCATTCTGCTCTGTAAACGTTCAAGTGAGTTTATGTCCATTCTATGATATGAATGAAGTCCGTGAAGGTCAAGGTAAACCTGAATAATAATAATAATAATAATACATATTTTTGGTGATGGCACTAAAGATCTATAATTGGAAGAAAATTAAGGCCACCGTAGTTGCTTACTGACTAAAGTATTCTTACGAAAGTAAGAATACTAAAGTATTCTTAAAAATACTTTATATTTATAATTATTTATAAACATCAAATTAGTTGAAGCCGTCGACCGTGCAAAACATTTTAATCAGCCATTATAGATATTTCTTGTAATGTTGCTCATTCTTTTGTGATGAAATATTTAACCATTGCCTACACGCAGGCTAATTTGAAATGTAACCTGCGTTACAAGCACTGAAGTACAGAGGTATATGGTTCTCGACTCGTCTAACTATCGCCAGAAGTGAATAGTTTATTGTGCACCCCTGTTTCGAATCCATGTATTTGATTCTAACATTTATCATGATAAACATGTATGTCCATTATTTCTTTCCTCAGTTATTTAAATTAAACAGTATATCCATTTGTTATCCAGTATATATGTTTGATTTATATGTTGCATGCTGTAGTGTGCCTGTATGTAATATTTTGTTAATGTTATTGCATTTTCATTCCTGTTGGGAGGGGAAGACCGTGGCGTCTCATGGGAGGATGGGTTGGCAACCCGTTCTCGCACTTTCTTATAATCAACATTGACTTATTAAATACGTGCATATGCGATATACTAATTTATTGTGATTATTTTAGTTTACCTTGAAAAGCTTCATAGAAAACACCGACCTTACCTAACTTTCTTAGTATGTTAAGATAAGCATCTTATTGCTTCGTAATTACAATTATTACTTAACCTATTATCCATGGGGGGATAACCATATATGGGATGTTCCAGTAATGCTGCAGTGTATCAAGCTAACGTCACTGATTCACCCCCTGTAATTATTCCTGTTTATTGATTGTACGTACTTTCTTAATTACATCTTAGGAGCGTTATATGCATATTAGTTTAGTTATAATTATGTTCTTAAGTATTACTCTCTGATAGCAGAGTATTTAGAGATTTCATGTGGTTTTTAGTTGGTAACCTGTAGACTCCATGCTTGCATGCGGGAGCACGCCAGTCGCGTGGGTGGTGCTGGCTGGCGTAGACATGTTGAGTTAAGTCTTTGGTACCTGTTTATTGTTTAGTAACATAGCTATAATTGCCTGGTTAGACCATTATTTGCATACCCATCTATCCATTTAAGTTTTAAAATAGTGATCAGTGCTTATATAATGCTATTGTGTTATTGTATTCTGGTGCATTATTATTTCTGGCTGCCTGTATTTCCATTAATATGTTTGTATGTTCCTTGTTACCCTTACTCTAGGTATATTGCTTTGTTGAGTAAGCAGCTGAATTATTTACCCCCTGACACTTTTAGTAGACAAGGCCGTATTATTATATACTTTTTACAACTGCAAAAGCAGAGGAACCATACCCAGAGGTCAAGGGTTATAACAACCCCATACTCATCCTGTGAGCGGTAGGGCAAGAAGGATTACTCAGAGGGGTTCGGACCTGAGTGGATAGTGTCATTTACAATTTCATCTCATTTGCATACTTTGTAATTATGACAATTAGTAACAAACATTTTGCACTGTAACATCAATACATTTACTTGCAATATATTATATATATATTTATATATATATATATATATATATATATATATATATATATATATATATATATATATATATATATATATATATATATATATATATAATGAAGGTAAATCCTTGGTTAATATATATTTTCAATTTTACAAGGTAATACAATAGTAATTGTTTATGATTTTTGTCTAAATGCTACACAGCACATACATTAAACAAACATATGTAATTTATCTACTATAAGCAAAAACATTGATACAGTGCAAGAATTTGACTGTTTTGCGAAACATGATCACTCGTTCCTTGTCACTTTCTCCAATTCAACACTTAGGGTTCTCCTTTTCCGGAGCATGCCCGCCTTTTACGACATATTCAATCCCCTTTTCATCTTTTTTCTTTCATCTTTACCTTTCATTTTATTCTTCAGCGTTTATCTCTCACCTTTCGTCTCACTCTCGTGCAAGATATTCCTCATGGTAATCCGATTTACGAGAATAAAATTTTGGAAAATATTATTTTAGTTACCCATAAAATTACATCTTCTTTAACATTCATGATAAAGAAAATGTTTCCTACTTCCAAACATTCATGGAGAGTCTAATCCAAATAAATCCTTGCACTATAATCATATTTTATTTATTTAATTATACTGGGTACTTTATGTGGATTAACGATATTGATACTTAAGGTGCATTACCAAAAATATTGCTTCCTGCTGGAGTTAATCATTCTGACTATGAAGGTTATGTGGGCTGGCAGGCTTCTAAGTCAAACAAATTCGCGGGCATAGCAGTCATCAGGAAGTAGAATAACTCTTTAAATTGACGGCAACAAAGCAAGGAACAAAACAGAACTTCAAAGAGACGGTGAGTTACATAAATTCTCAAAATCGTGCTGCGATATTGTTACAATCTAATATCCCTCCGCTCTCTCTCTCTATATATATATATGTAGAATCTTCTACTTTCTTCAATTCTCGTAGTACAGTTGGCTTCGTTTCATGCAGGTCGGCGTTCAATCCCCGACCGCATATTAAATTAAATTATATTATATTATATATATATATATATGTCGTACCTAGTAGCCAGAACGCACTTCTCGGCCTACTATGCAAGGCCCGATTTGCCTAATAAGCCAAGTTTTCATGAATTAATATATTTTCTCTATTTTTTTTCTTATGAAATGATAAAGCTATCCATTTCATTATGAATGAGGTCAATATTTTTTAATTGAAGATAAAATTAACGTAGATATATGACCGGACCTAACCAACCCTACCTAACCTAACCTATCTTTATAGGTTAGGTTAGGTTAGGTAGACGAAAAAGTTAGGTTAGGTTAGGTTAGGTAGGTTAGGTAGTCGAAAAACAATTAATTCATGAAAACTTGGCTTATTAGGCAAATCGGGCCTTGCATAGTAGGCTGAGAAGTGCGTTCTGGCTACTAGGTACGACATATATATATATATATATATATATATATATATATATATATATATATATATATATATATATATATATATATATATATATATGCTCTTTTCCCAGTGCCGACGTGCTGACCCTCCCCAGGATACAACCCCATAACAGTGGCCTAACTCCCAAGTACCAATTTACTGTTAGATGAACAGACACATTAGGGAAAAGGAAACGTGGCCAAATCTTTCTGTCCCGCCTCGGAATAGAACCCGGGATACTCGATTGTGAGTCAAGAACGAAGGGAAGGGAATTGTCGGGAAAGCGCCAAGCCATGACGACTATATAGCTCAGGGAAGGGATCAGGATAAGGATTTGGGATGGGACGGGGAGGGAAGGAATGGTGTCCGAACACTTGGACGGTCGGGGATTGAACCCCGACCTGCATGACACGAAGCCAACTGTACTACGAGAATTGAAGTAGAAGATTCTACATATATATATAGAGCGGAGGGATCTTAGATTGTAACAATATCGCAGCACGATTTTGAGAATTTATGTAACTCACCGTCTCTTTGAAGTTCTGTTTTGTTCCTTCCTTTGTTGTCGTCAATTTAAAAAGTTATTCTACTTCCTGATGACTGCTATGCCCGCGAATTTGTTTGACTTAGAAGCCTGCCAGCCCACATTATCTTCACAGTCAGACTGATCCATTAACTCCAGAAGGAAGTAGTGTTATGATTAAAAGGAGATAATGATGCCCGTTCGTATTTGTCGCTGTATTTCTTGGTGCAGGCACGAACGCCATCTATGTAAACAAGACAACTGGACACC